TGTTGTGAAGTGAATCAACAAGATGCTTCCATCTTGTTATTTATACTTCCTTGAAAGAAATTTTACGGAAATAAAATCAAAATATGGAAATTTGCCGCATGTTTATTGAAATGAGATATCGTTCAAAGTCCTTTCCGCAACTCACACTTCGACGTTCGCACACCGTTATTTTGTATCGCGACATTTTCCAAGCTTTTTTGCATTTTGCTGGCAAATATTTTTCCCCTGGAAGATCTCAGTATAAAGGTATGTGTTCAAAGATTTATACTCTGTTCTTGAACAATATCTCCTTGTTATTTAGAGTAAATTATTTATAGAAAACGGCCGGGTAAAGGGCAAAGGGCCATGTGTGCGTTTGCGCTTTCAGGAGAAAGAAAGTGCGAATTGTTTATTCGGGAAAATATGGCCGGAAAATATGGCTTAAAAATATAAGTTATACGTTAAAGAATTGTCACTGATTTTTCCATGTAACATTTGAAATAATTGTATTTAGGCTGACAGGGCTAGCCGGGTTAACCATGTGGCAGATGCGGAATATGCCGCGGGCCTCGCGCTTATGGGGGCATCGCGCTTTACTGTGCCGAGCTCGTTTTAACGAAAACACACCCATTTTATATCCTTTGCGCACTTAAGGTACTCGCGCATTTAGGGTCTTCATGACTAACGCATTCAGGGCTCCTACACTCTTTAGTTAACCCAGGAAAATATAGATCCCCGTTAGTATTTAATCTCTTGTTGCGCTGTTATATGATCCTGTTTACACGTGTTGCCGACCTGGTCCTGTATCGGACCATTGTCTCCTGTATCATGTTGCAGCTACAGTGTTACTTCTGATTTACTTCTTTTACACTCAAGAATGCATTAAACAATTCCTAAGACGTAATTACATCCAAAAAAATGAATAACAGATAAAACAAAAAACAATTACCAAATTTGTGTGTCTTTGAATTTAAAAGTTTTCATACCAGGGGATGGGGGCCCCGCGCCAAAAACCTGCCACGGGACTCGCGCGATGTTAATCCGGCCCTGTTTAGGCTCCCTAGCAGATGATAATGAAATAATTTCAACTTTGTGTTACGTTTCAGCTGTTGGTAAAATCCTTAAAGTGTATGCAACAATGGTGGGAATATTACATTCAATATTCATTTAAAATTATGTTAATTGCTTGAATATTCTCAAAATTATACAATTGTACATTATGGTGTCACCAAAATTTTATTTTAAAGATTTTTTTTATTTTTTAGAGTAATAATGTGGACACAGTAAATGCATTAATGCAGGTTGTGCAGATGCTGCATAACAGAGAGAGGTCACAGCAAGCCCAACCCTCGACTTCTGCTGTAAATAACGGGCAAAACGGTCAAACTACAAGTGCCTCTAGTAGCACATCCACTGGTGAACAAGCTGCCTCAACCTCGGCAACCAATTCTCGGCATCTAGAAGAACACCGAAGATTGTTTAGCCGACAAGCGGTAACTTTTTATACTGCATGTATTCATGAAACATGTGACCATAAACCCCCCCCCCAAAAAAATAGTAAGAAGGGAGGTGGGATATTTTGAGAAATGAAAAGAGAGGCAAAATTTAACTAGTTGGTTTAATTTACAAATTTTTAGAGGGTACAACCATACTCTAGGCAAATTCCCGGCCGTAGAAGACGTGCACCTGCCAAGAAAGGTAACAGTGCCAGTGGATTATTGTATTTGTAACGTTTTAAATTTAAATTATGATACAAAACACTTATAATTATTCCTGTAGAAAAGTGTTTGACAAAGACGATGTTCTGCTTCGCTGAGAGGGGAGCTACTGAGGCACCATCTTGCTCTGAGAAATTGGAGCTTCTAGAAAACGGTCTGGGCGAAAAACGTGTGTCTTTTCCCGTATCCGCTACTGCGGCTGCTGTGAAAGAAGTGTTATTCGAGTACGACATTGTTAAAATTACTTGTTTCTTTGTTTGTTTGTTAGGACTGCACTCTTTTTTGACTATTATTCATAATAGGCCTGGCTAATTTTATGAGTGAGTGGCAGGTATAACATCATGGCATGGCCTTATCCTTATCCTTATCCTTAATAGGGCTTATCCTCCGTTGCGCTTTTCTGGTGGCTTTCAAATTTTGGTGAGTCAGGAAAAGGAAAGAAAGAAGTTGAAAGTGGTTTCGCATGGCTCATGCAGTACGGAGCAACTGAGATGCTTTGGCAATGGCCGAATATACATACGACCGCTTCAAAGAAGTATTCCTTTGACGGAAACTGTGCGTTTTCATGAAGAAAAAAAATATGCTTATCATGCGGTGAAAGCGTTTCAGTTAGTGAAATGAGTGAGCATCTACAAGCTTGCGAGGTAAGTTTAGATATTTCAGATAATCCACCGCTCCCATTGTAAATGCTAAGACAAATTACATCGGCCGAAGGAAAATGACAAACATGTTTTTGTTTAACAAACTATTTAACAATTTCGACAGCATTATCATTCTGCAAATGAGCATGAAACTGAAGAGGGAGACGAGAATAGCCGATATGGAATTAACAGTGAAAGGTATCAATTCTTCATAGCATGTTAAAACCTAATAAGACTATAGTTTGCAACTCTATGTGTACGAACTGTTTACAATAAAACATTGGAAATTCAATTAAAGCAATAGTAATGGAACTTCATTTTTAAAAAATCATGCTTTATACGGTATTTGGCTACAGGTGGTACACCATCTCATTTGTTCTTGAATTTATCTTTAGAAACGACGTCGTTCAAGTTACGGATGATGACACGTTAATTTCAAATACAACCTCTTTGCCGCTAAACGAACAGATCGCCCCGACACAATTAGTCTCTAATACTGACGCGAGAGACAGTGACCTGGATTCATTAGCACCAGTTCCTCAACCAAATGAAACGTTGGAAATCGAGGACAGCAATCGCGCTGAACTTGAAAACAGGTATTACCCAAATAGAAAATTTCAATGATACACGGAATCAATATCCACACCGATGCAATCAAAACCAATATATATTTCTTTCATATTTAAACATTTTTAATTCTGTTCTTAGCGTGGAAGTAGATCCTATGGCTCTGCCATACGAAGAACACCTACGAAACGCCATCGACGCAACACTAAAAGCAACGTACGTATTATTGCAAAGCTTGCTTGTAATCATCAATGAACGATATTTTTATGAGCGGAATTTTTTTATAATATTATTGCAGAACTGCAAATGATGACCCTGTCCAAGTTCTGCGAACCTTCTCTTGCCACTTTCTGCGGGGTCGTCCCCTCGATGTTATGGACCCAACGGTGCAACTTGAAGGTGAAACAACAGATGTTTTCGTTACGCGGGAAAACATTTACGAAGATGGCATGGACGAGTTGTTGGGTGGACTTGGTGTGAGCGATCCTAGTCTTCCTTTAGAAGTCACGTTTACTGGCGAGTGCGCACAGGATCTAGGTGGTCCTCGGAAAGAGTTCCTAGGTGCAATGACCCGCGAGATAAAAGACCATTTATTTGTGGTTGGCGGCGATACCTATACCTTACGCCAAGATGTTGTCGCCGAGACTCGCAGATACTTCTTTGGAGCTGGTCTTGTATTTGGTAAGAGAACTTATTATTATTAAACTGCAACTTACAACTACGTTCAAGTTAATGTCTTTGTTAACCCTGACTCTGTTCATTTAAGGTTACAGCATGTTACAAGGCGGACCGCTACCGTGTTTTATGCACGAAGAATTACTGACCAAACTTTTTGGTGTTCATGCAGAACAACTGAACGACGCCGAAGAACAACTTCGCAACGGCTTTTCGAAATTTGGATTAGTAGAGGTAATTACATTTGTTATACTGCCATAGAACACTGAGTACAGAAACAATTAAAAGAAGTGTATTTATGATTTATGTGTACCCGTTACTTTCATAATCATAAAAATTCTATTTAATTTTAATATATTTTTATTTTCAGCTCATCAAGGAAAGACCATCGATGCTCTTCCTATTACGAAGAACAGCATACCATCCGTTGACGTATCCGAGAATCGTAAAGATTTTGGCGCCAAAATTTTCAGAGCAGGGTTCCAACAAGAGGATGAAAGAGAACAGGGCATACAGGCTTTTTTTGAATTACGTCAAAGAGGTTGCTGGTATGTTCATATTTTCTTTCGTTCTGCACGTTTTATCTAATTAACTTTTTACCTATATAACACTTTTTATTTAATCCTTTAGCTGGGAGGCGAGAAAATGTATCGCTAGGCGATGTCTTAAGATTCGCCACTGGTTCAGAGGATGAGCCTGTTCTGGGTTTTGCAATCCAGCCTGCTTTGTGTTTTAGTGACGGCACGCGTTCGTGCCTACCAACCTCCAACACATGCATCAACCTTTTACGGCTGGCTATTGGTGAAATTCTTCCTGAAAGTCAAGATGAAATGTTCCAAAAATTTGATTTAGCTTTCAGCAATACCCATTTTGGAATGGCGTAACGTACCGATTTATATGTATATATATATATATATATATATATATATATATATATAATATAATATATATATATATTAATATATAATATATATATATATATATGTCTCTCATTTTGTTGTAACAGCTCTACTCTACTGTATCGAGCACTCTTCTACATTACACTACAAGATTATTAAGCAGATATGTCTGAATCTGTTTAAAAGTCCCAATTCATTAGTCTGTTTAAAATCTATTTACATGGCATTAGCTTTAGATGTTTACGATCTCAGTTATAATATTTACAACAATATTGTACTTTATATATGGTACAATATTTTAAACTATTATATTTAAAACAAGCTTATGAGAAGTAATACCGCTTAATACATGTTTCAATATTATCCGAAATTATTTTAATTCTAAAAAAAGGGGACATTTGTATTTGTATTGACATTTATCATGTAGGTTACATGATATTTACATTTGTTGTTTGTGGTATATGCACAATTTGTGGAATATCATGCAGTTGAGACTCACTCCACTTTTCAGTTATTAAATACTACTGCGATTCCTCGGGTAGTAAATTGTCAAGTGTTTGCAACGCATATAGGTACGGTTCAGTGTCCCATGGGTCTGTGCGCTCTACTGTTGACACTCTGTGTAAAAAATCAGCAAAAGCTGTTTCATCCAGTGGATATGTAGTGTCCGGCACTACTACTCCGTCGTCATCATTGTACTGTGGTAAACCTGCCTGTACGTCCACACCATAAGTATTTAATTCGGTCTGGAGAAATGAAAAAGTAAACCAAATTCGAAACTAAGTAGATTGATTCCTAATAGATAAGACTTATATATTAGGAAGTGAGCAAATTCAAATTGCATAATTATATATGCCTATTTTTTACCCAGCGAACAGAGTTTGCAGCCCTTTTTCATCTAGAGAACATGATCAATTTTAGTAAGGTTCTGACTTCTGCACAAAATCTTTTTTCATGGTGCCTTATATGGAATTGTATGTATTACTCTATTTCGAAAAAGGCGGCAAATTTGCATAGCGACAAGAATAACTTACCTCAGAAAGATTTTCAAAATATTCGTTGGCAATAGTACCATTCTCGTGTTGTATTTGTTGCATGCCCATAATAAATTGTTGAAGAGGACTTTTATTTTCAGCTGTGCGCATCTTGTGATGTATCCAAGCGTTTGAAAATTTTGTAAGCATATCATTGATGACAGGCTTATAAACTTCATGAAGGCAAAAGAGGTGGCGTTCATTATCGGGATCAAGGATTCCGTCCGTTTCCATAAGTGTGAACAGGTCGTAGAACATGGATAGAACGGTTTGATATACATCTCTCCACAATCGCTCAATCCTTGAATTGTGAACACTGCGGCCAGTAATATAACTCCCACGAGATGGTCCTCTTGCTGGATGGCTCAACATGTAATGAGCAACATCACGGTTTTCCACACCCATATCCCCTCTAACTCTGGATGGAAGCCCCCATTTAGCAATTGCTTCTTCAAACAGTTTCAATACTGTTGCAGATTTGTTGTCAACACTACATGCAAGATACACAATTACCCTGCTGTAACCATCGATGCAACCGTGTATGACAAAACGCCATCTAATACGAAAAAACAAAAATGACCATACTAAAAAAAAAAGTAACAAGGGACGACAATATTACTTCTTTAAATAAACCACTTTTACTAATTTACATTTTTTCACAGATTTTATTTGTGTTGGTTTCAATTTTATCTACCGTGGTGAACACTTTTTTACTTGTGCAGTATTTGGCTACAACTGCACCATTTTAGGTAATAATTAAAATCTAACTGACCTTATCAATTTATGGTTTCCATCCATATGCCAAAGTGATAACGGTGAGCGTACGTTATACACCCTTCTTTGTATGGCGTTGATTGTTCTGAGTCTCCTTCCAACTGGATCTACTCTTTTGATAGAATCTCGTACTCGCCTTCTTTGAACCTTTATTCCTTGTGACACAAGCTCTCCTTCTATAGTCTTCATTCCTAAAAAATGTAACCATTTTCACACCAATTCATTCAGACATTTAGACTGCTCCATTCATTCAACATAATACATGGCCAGATACTTTATGTTGTCTTGCCTGAGTGTTTATTTTACCCAATAGTTATTTTACCTGATCTTGGGAAATACGAGATTATTCGTTTAGTGTATATATCAAGGGAGTCGTCATCAATATCACTGAATCTCTCAATGCGTGTCATGTTAAATTCAGCAAGTCTGTTTTCCACTGTTCGCTTGCTGACACCAAGCATTAATGCCATTTGATTTTGAGTAAATCCCATATCTATAAAAGTACAGAAAAGCACATAGTATATATGATGTAATTTAAGAGAACAGTTTAAAATCATCCCTTCACTTCTCCCAAATTCATGATAATTGTTACTTTTTTATTGAAAAGTAAAATACAAACAAGTTGCCAAAACAATTTTTACCTTTAAAAAACATAAGCTGCTCTTGCGTAATAGAAAATCTTGGGCGTCCTCGCCTCCTGAGAGCTTCATCTGATGGAGCTTGATAAGGTTCATATCTTCTTTCTATCCCAAGATCTCTTTTCAATAATTGAACTGCTTTATTTATGCAGTCAACAACCTCCAATGGGATGACATCATGAGTTAATGCATTCTCAGCAAGTACTTCAAGTCGCATTGCACACAGCTCACGATCATCATAACTCGTGCTTTCACTTAACATGGTAATGACATCCTTGATAGCATTAATTAGTTCTGCTGTAAATGAATCCATAATGTATCTATATTAAATTGACCTAAAGGAAAAAACTATTCATCAGTGATTGCCCCCTCCCCTGAAAAAATGTAGCATATAGTATGCACATTGGGTATGGAATAGAAATAGATGGAATCTAATGTTAATGTGAGTTATGTGACATCCTTATTCTTTTCCATACAAAGGGGAGGGAGGGGATCCTCCTGTATATAATACATATTTAAAAATTTTGCCATGTTGCCTGCCCATGACATTAATTAAGCTATTAAGATTTTTGAATAGATTAGTATTTTCAAATGTTATATCAATGTTAAACAACTCTTTATAAAATGTTACAACACTATGTATGTCATGTATGTTGACGCAGATAATTCCTATATTAAAATAATTTACTCTAAATAACAAGGAGATATTGTTCAAGAACAGAGTATAAATCTTTGAACACATACCTTTATACTGAGATCTTCCAGGGGAAAAATATTTGCCAGCAAAATGCAAAAAAGCTTGGAAAATGTCGCGATACAAAATAACGGTGTGCGAACGTCGAAGTGTGAGTTGCGGAAAGGACTTTGAACGATATCTCATTTCAATAAACATGCGGCAAATTTCCATATTTTGATTTTATTTCCGTAAAATTTCTTTCAAGGAAGTATAAATAACAAGATGGAAGCATCTTGTTGATTCACTTCACAACATGATGAATCAACTTACAACAAGACGTGTCAAGAACGCACAAGTTACGTCAAATCAAAATATGCCGTGTCATTTCACTTGGACGCGAATCGTTTCACCTTTGGTGAAGCCATTTCACATCTTGTTGAGTGATTTCACATTTATTGAGTGATTTCACATGATTTTGAATCTGTTCACATCTAGCTGAACGACGCCGCCTTTAACTGGGCCGTTTCACATTGAGTTACATTGTCGCATATTAGATCGAATCGCGTCTCATCTGGTTGAATGGTGTCGAATTTAGTTGAGCTATTTTAAAACACATCGGATGGCTGTAAAAAAGCATGAATTATTTGACAGCTTACTGGGTCACTCTTATACGACTTGTTGCGTCACTGCAAAATACATCAAGTCATTTCACTTGGTCCATACGAATCAGTTCAATAATAGCCGAATTAATACACAGTGAAGTGAATCGTTTCAACTTTGAACGAGTCATTTCTTGTTTTGTCCAGTCATATTACTACAATATGTTCAAGCATTTCTAAACACATTGAATCATTCGTGTTTGTTATGAATGATTTCTGTTTATGTCCATTCATTTCACACGTGTAACATTTTTGGTGGTAACGGCCGCCCATAAATTACCCCCAGGATCATCGTGATAATAAGGATAGAAACATAATTGAAATATTAAACATAATTGAAATATAGAACGTTCTCTGGTTGAAATATTAATTGAAATATAGAACGTTCTCTGGTTGAAATATTTCAACCAGAGAACGTTCTACATTTCAATTATAATAAGGATAGTTTGAAAGGTTATTAAACCCTGAGAATTGTGCTAAAGATAAAATGAAATTCTCCGTGAAGCATATTAAAACACACCTCCTTTGCAACCTCTTTATCAGGTCGGCCATCACTATCTTTCAATTCAACATAAGGCTTGCTATGAACTCTAATAACAAAAAATTAAAACATAGGAACCTTAAAAATTTTCCTCTCAGTCTGATAATTGTGTGTGTTAAGCTGATTTTTCATAACTTGACAGGTTGGCCATGCTCAGGGCAGCACCATCGAAATAAAGTTTACCTGTTAAGATCTTCATGCAAACCATCAAGTAGAAATGCCAAGAATTCCTATACCAAATCAGAGAAAGACGTCTTAAAGATCACGCCTTTAAATACGAACACTAAATCGAATTCATTCAGTGAAAATAAAAGACCTTCTTCAAAACAGTGTCAATACTAAAAATATTCTTCGCTGTTATATTTGAAAGACAGCGACTTTGTCTTAACAAAACATATCAAAATAATATACAACCAAACCAACCAACCAACAAAACAACCAAGGAGCAGCGTGGCAGCGTCTTCAAACAACTTAGCATCAAATGTGGTATAACAACTGCCTAAATAGACAAAGCAATTCTCGACGTTTCGACCTGAGGGCCTTCGGCAGGAGAGTTAGTGGATCATTGTCCTTGAGATACGCATTTAAATAATGTTATCCATATTTGTAAATTGTAAATATTGTTAATAAATATCATTTTTGCGAACAAGCAAATTTGACTGCATCATATGCATGCATAAAAATGCTTATGGCAACCCCGATTGATACACTTGTGGGCCCAACAGAGTGTTTAGGCATTCAAACTCTAACAATGGCATTGTTATGGGTGATTTCAATAGTTTTCGTTTTTTTGGGACACCCTGTAGAACGATAATTGGGGATGTGAATATTCATATATTCAGTTCTGCCCGACAGATTTCTATTGTAAGCTATTGCAATTACAAAGAATTCTCGAATTCTGTAAACTAGGCTTCACTGGTCAAGCGTGTACGTCTTTATTCATATCATGACCATTATAATTGTGGTCAGTACAAGTATATGTATATGCGAAGTGACGGCAACAATATAATTATTTTCCCATACTGTTTAAAGTTTAAACCACCAAATGGCTATGGGGCGTCATTTCGGATGCCGACGAGGAAGAAACAGATTTCAACGATGATTGTTTCAAATCTCACCTAATCGAGGAGATTCTTGATGATATAGGATTGAGACTTCTTCAATGGAAAGTGTTTGAATTGCTTTCCCTTTTATCAATGGCCTTAGGCCTGGGAACTACTCCCCCCCCCACGAGTACCCTGGGTACGAGACCCTGGGTACGAGGTTGACTATCCGCTATACTTCCTAGTTTGAAATCAGACTGGTATATCTCTTCAATTACGTCTGGAGTTTTGACGTTATCAATACCTACCGGAATGTTCCTGGGAACAAAGCTTTGCATGGGGTTGGGTGTCGCACAAAAATTAATATGTTAGATAAGCCTTTTCTTTGTCGGCTTAGGAATGACTATTTCATTTCAAAGTTAATATGTCATGATTTAATATTTCCCACAAGGTATCGTTCTATGTGTTCTGTATTAACAGCCGTGTTCTGGACTTTAGGATTTCTTCTTTCGAGTTTCGGCTGTTGTTTCAATGGAGCTTTCGGTGATCGGTTATCATTGGGCTCTGGCTACCGTGTGTTTTCCGACAGCAAAGTTCTTTTCTCAGCCAGTTTGCCTGCTAGGAACGAAAGGAAGTGAGAAGTCTCCCTTCCACATCCACCAGATAGGCACTAAAAACGACTGGAGTGAAGGAGCCATGCCAACTTCAACAATTCTTCGATTATACTGACGTTTCTTCTCACGTTCGTTGGCATTAAACGAGCTGGTAAGAGTCTGGCGTCGATGTGTCGAAGCGTCAGGATTAAACACCCTGACATCAAAAAATGCTTTTTCACATCTTTGCCAGAGACCTAGCTCTCGCCTATGTCCACTCTGGCGTCGTCGGCGGAATTAGCACTGGATGGAAGTACTTCGCCAGTTAAAGGAGCAAGAGCAGGTTCAGTAGAAACGTCATAGGCCATGATTTCGTCATGTCGTCGATGAATAAAACCTCCTTTCAGGCACGACAAGGCATGGTCCACGGTGAAAGATTTTCCACAAGCGCAGAAGGATGGAAGGCGCTTCAATGGCCACCGATAACGCATATAAGCCCCATTTACACTACACTCGATTTATTGGCACGGCACGGCTAAAATGGGTACCCGTGCCCAATTTTACTAGTGCTCAGGGTACCAAAACAAAGGCCGGGCACGGATGAAGTGGGCACGGGTACCCATTTTAGTCGTGCCGTGGCAATAAATCGAGTGTAGTGTAAATGGGGCTATAGATTGCGTCAAAGAACTCTCGTTTCGTGAGGACATACCCTTCATTAGCAAGTGGCAGTGCTGTCAACTAAGCTTAGGATCCCTTCAACAGGGCGAGATCATTTGCTCGAATTTGCTCTTCACTCATACTTGATCTCAAGTTCTGCAACACCAGCATGTTTTGGGCATGTCGATGATTAATTATCTCACGGCGCAAATCGTAGATGGATGCTCCATTTTCATTTGCTGGAACGTCATCATTCTGATGGATGATCTTGACAGATGGTCTTTGAGTCTCATTTTCTTCATCGCACAGCTCGGAGAAGATAGGAATTCCAAGACCTCCCATGCATTCTCGTCGGCAGTGAGCCAGTTACAGTAACTTCCTCTCATGGATGGAAGCACTACGGTTGGCTAGAAGCGATGGCAGGAGCTTCAGGCTGATGGAATCATCTACCACTTGCATCGCAGTCTTGATAACTGGAACAGCGCGTATATGGTAAGTAAATCTGTGCCGAAACCCAATATTGATTTCAGTTGCTGATTTTTACGCGTGTAATATATATAGGTCAGTGATTAGGGTCAGTGATCCAGCACTGATCTAATCAGATATTATTTCAGACAAAATTTGTTCAAAAACCAACAAGCTTAACCACGGCCAGGTTACGAAGCTACGGGCTCAAAAATCCAAGATGCCCTAACGAGAGGCAAGTACTAGTCGTGAAAGTTAATCTTTGTGTGGTGATTACTTTCGTTTTTTTAAACCAGAGTAGCGATAATTACGATGGATTATATGGCCTGGTTGCCGTGAACTCATGAACTTCAATTCGATGCATGACAGATCAACCTGATCAATTTTTAAGTGTGTAGATCAGATTAGATCTTATAATATAGGTATGTTAGCGCAATCACTCCCCACAATCAACAATTCCCACAATCTCGTTCCCAGGTCTTCCGTGTGAAATGACGGAAATGACGCAAGGGTTACGCAAGGGTCTTGTGACTTGCTTGTGACATGACCTGTGCTTGAACATGCTGATTGCTGAATTAAAAATTTAAAAAACACTCGTTTGCTGCGTTGGGAAGGCGTGTGGCTGAAATTTTTATCTCCTAATACAGAAAGTAGAGCTGTTTTATTGCAGTGATGTATCGAAGCATTTTTCTGCTTATTGTGGCTGCGGTCTTTGCAAGTTCTACACAACTATATAGGTATGTATATATAAAATTGTTGAAATGCACGAAGTATTTAATTGTGACTATTGTCTGATAAATTGAATTCATTCATGAAAATTTCGATTATACTTCATCAGTATTGACTTTTCCTAAGCAAGTGTGCACTTCTTCAACCAAAAAATATGAAGTTTAGCACTCGACAATCGCGTACCCATGAATAAACGGTTTAATATAAGGCGAGATATGCATTTTTTAGTTGAAGTGACTCACCGGTTTTTGTCGGCATATTCAACAAAATACTAAATGACTGACAGTTTCCCAGTACACAAACAGATCAATGTATCCCCATTTATATCTGAAATAATTTTATGTGTCCTGAAAACTGTTTTGTGGAATATTTGTTGAATAAATAAAAGCAGTTGCCTGCAGTCTTGTCAAAATATGGGAAGACACTGAAAGAGCAGTTGGCAAGCTGCCTTGTTAGTTGCAACAGCCCAAAGCACCTTTAGGAAACAATGTAGCTGCAAAATCTTGAGCATCAACTTTTAGGAATATCTAAGACAACCATAATAAGATTCGGAGCGATAATGTGGAATACCTGCCCAATCCAACTCCTAAGAGTTAATGCTATGTATAGTATATATTGTTTATGAACTATCTCAGAACAAGAATATACACTGATCCTCTTTAGATCTAATTGATCCACTTATAGATCTTTAACATAATACTAAATTCTATAGGTTAGATTCTATCGGGTTATATAGTTAAACTACAAGTTTCAATGCATCATCAGATTGAGAGCTTTGCAGTTACAAATCAGCACAGTAAACCCTACTTTTTTCAGAGCAAGCCAAAAGCAAGTTTTAGCAAAATAACAGTCACAAGACATATTCTAACAAGTTTAACTAACTTAGCCACTTCGGCACTTGTAGCAGGTCATGAACCTTAAATTATGCCTGAAATTAAACCTAAACTCATTCTAACCACATTCGTATTTAGGAACAGGCAATTACAATTTGATAATCTTTCTCTGAAAGTAGTTTTCACTTCTGTTTCATTCTATGTACAGATAAAATTTGTAAAAATGAATATATATTGGCTGTTCATTGAATCAGCTGGCAAGTGAAATAACCTCCATGCAAATTACTACAGTTCTAGAATCTCACATGACTTCTGTCTAATTATGATGCAACTTCTGTCTAATGACAGAATCATTGTTTAATTAGTAAATATGCAGACAAGGGAATTTTTAATGAAAAAAGAGAAATAAATTTAATAAAATTATATTATTATTATAAAAATGCCAATTTGAACAGCATGAGTTAAATTTAGGGTTCTTTGTTAAACATTCAAATTAATAAGAGAATAAATGAGGTATTGATTAGTATAAAAGAATGTTGTACAGTTTACTTAAGAAAATGGTTTGAAAATGTAAATAGATTTCATTTCAAATATTACTGATTGAGCAATATAAAATTATAAATATCAGACATAAAGGAGGGTTTGAACCCAAAAATAAATTGAACCTAAAATTAAATTGTACCTGCCCTTTGAGGTTGCTTTACTTTAGCAAATTGATTTCATGGACATAGGCCACAAAATATATTATTAACACTTTAATACTCACAGATTTGGAAGGGACTAGACTAGACTTACTCAAACTGTCTTGACCTAGTAGTTCATTTGGGACAGCATTGGGCTAGCAAAATACTTGCCAGCTGAATTAAATGTTTCATGCGGTCTATGGTGGTGTATATAAAGGCAATTTATACAGCGTTGATCTTTGTATAATTGTAAAATTGTGTGCGGTTAAGTTTGCAGTCTGCACTACATTGTATAAAATGCTGACCAGTGGCTGTGCAATCATGTTCACAGTTTTCAATACTGAAGATCAAGTTATGTGTACAGATGCCTCATGCGTGAACTCGTGACAAGCTCTAGTGAGGGGCGGCAAATAAAATTTTGTTGAGTAATAGCGTAGTTTGCCGACTATTGCCCAATGCGACCAATACGACAAACCAAGGTACTCATATTTCACCAAGCATTTTCTAAATCTTAAAATCCCAAGCACAAAATACTGAATGATATTGAAATTCTTTTTGCAAGGGGAGCTATTAATAGCGATAAATTTATAGCGATGGGCAATGGAATCAGATATTTTACATTCGAGTCTTTCACTTGTTCTTATTTGATTTCAAACTCGCAAGGCAGGCCTTTCTATTGTACCTAAGCTGACGCTCCAACCTTGCTAGCCAGGCTTTCTCACCTAAGCTTGACTTGATTTGTGCTAAAATGATTCTGCTCACAGTGGCAAGAAAATTAGAATGTTTGTTCCGGTTCCCAGTTATGCCGGCTGAGGAAAAAATTTGTCGACTCGCCAACTAGTTAGGGTTGTTACGTCGCATTAATTGTTGAGGAATCAACGCAAATGCGCTTGCGCAATCGAGGATTAGATGGATAATGTTGTTTCTTTAGATCTGAGTATTGTGTAAACATTTAGCTAAGTATCTATGTCTAGTAAGTAATTAATCGAAGGGCCACCCGTGGTGACAAACCGACTATACCCGGTCTTAAATGTTTTGAAATCACAAAATTTCAAATTACGTAATTTTACGGGTTGGGGATACGTCATTTTTTTCGAATATTGGGTTCAAAATGGCGACTATGCCAAAAGGGCATATGACCGGGGCCGGGTTATGGGGCTGACGGTTGAGGTCCGTTTGGGTAGAATTAAAGGTTAAGGATAGGACACGAACGTAATTAAGCATTAATCATGTGTTATTAATCATTTGTAGGATACCTCTCACCAAATTCCGCACAATTCGCTCACAATTAAAGGAAATAAATTTGTCGGAAAAAGATGTAAGCGAAAAATCTATGAATTCAAAATACCACATTAACAGTCGTGCCGGACCTGAGGAACAGCTTAACAATTACATGGATGCTCAGTACTACGGACCAATCACAATTGGAACTCCACCACAAGACTTTAATGTCGTCTTCGATACAGGATCGTCTAATCTCTGGGTGCCTTCTAAAAAGTGCAAATTGACCAATATTGCCTGTTGTACGTATTCTAGATTTTTGTCTTCAGTTTATTTCTAAATATAACTTCCTCATAAGTCTGCATTGTGTTCAAAATATTATTATATCTTAAATGTATGGTGGTATTTTGGAGTAAATCGAACCCCAATTTAGGCGCTGTTACACAGGGCAATTTTTCTTGTAACTTGCAATGCAATTCTACGTTGAGGAGATGTTAATTAGTGAAGAATCTTTAAAATGTAAGTGTAAGAAACGTCCATGGAATAGATGTATAAACACAAACGTAGTTGGCAAATTAACATCTATCAAAAGTAGAATTACATTGCAACTAGCCTTTCTCACGATGACGTTTTTGGGGACTTTCAATTTTTTCAAACGTGTTTAAAAAGTTATGACAACATGAAAATCAGTTTTTTTAGAATCAACAGACCATTTTAAGAATACTGTAACTCCAGCCTAAAATTAAAGACTGTGGCCGTTATGTCTCACGCTTGTGGTTTTAAAAAAAAAGTACGGTACCCGAAAAATGGTGGCATATTCGTCCTCGTGAGGCTGGCTATATATATTATATCAGCCCCGTTTACACTATACTCAATTTATTGGTGCGGCACAGGTAAAGTGGGCTCCCTTTAACACATTTCAATCAATCATATTTCATTGTCCTCCAGTGCTTCACAACAAGTATGACAGTTCAAAATCGAGCACCTACAAGGCGAATGGTAAGAACTTTTCAATTCATTATGGTTCCGGAAGCTTGACTGGATTTCTTAGTACAGATGTCGTAGAGGTGAGTAATGTAAAACATACATGCATACGTACAGCTGGGCTCGAAATAACGACGCAGATATCTCCGATCTAAGTGAACGATCAACTTTTATCTCCGCTTTCGATTGTAAAATCAGTAAAATCAGTTTTCGATTGTTCACCTCACATTTTCCGCTTGATTTTCTTTTCATGGACCGTAGCGCATTTCCCTCCATACCGGTCACAATTTATAGGAAAATCCAGCGAAAAATCTTGTACATTATTCTAGTCCGTATTTGGAACCACAAAAATTGTTTTGAATTTTTTAAGGTCGGATCAATGAAAGTGGAAAATCAGACATTTGCTGAAGCTATATCTGAACCTGGTATGGCTTTTGTTGCTGCTAGATTTGATGGGATTCTTGGCATGGGTTATAACACCATATCCGTCGACCAAGTTCCTACTGTGTTTACTGATATGGTTGCTCAGAAACTCGTTAAGAAGGCTGTATTTTCATTTTACCTCAACAGGTTTGTGTTTTGTTATGTGCATGCATAGTTAATCCACATCATTCAAAAGCAATGCAATAGATATACGAACCTGACTTCCACCTTTCCACCCTTGACAGTTTGTACTTAATTATTGGTAGCTTTATTGGAATGAAACTTTACAAGCTGTTTTACTCGACCTTCTGCCACAAAGGTTTCTGCCGCGCGCGGACTTTACAAGGGCCTTCAAGTTTTTAACTTATTTTTGAATTAAAGGTTGAACAACGTTTAAGCTGTTACAATTCTCTCGCGAATTCACACATTTGTTTCATTTTTTTGAAAAGATAGGTATTGTACCTAGAGACTAGAGAGGGGGGGATAGATAGCGGTATTGTACCTAGAGACTAGAGAGGGGGGATAGATAGCCCTGTTTTACAAATTTACTTGAGCTCAGGCTACCTGTACTAAAGCCGAACAAATGGAATTCGTACAGACTCCTATTACGGTGCCGTGCCAAAAATCTGAATTTAATTTCTCGGTAAAGACATTTAGTTCAATGGTAAAGACCGAGCAAGCGAGGTTAATAAAAAGTTTATTATATGGCATAGGGCATGTATTTGAACTTAAAACAAACAAGAAATGCATGAATTCGTACTAGTAGCCTGGTACGCATTTGATAAAAACAAAAAATTGAATTATTTACTTTACCTAGACTGTCTGGAGACGTCTTATTAATTTCAAAAGCAGTTAAATTTCTGGGGCTGGTTGTATAAAGCCCGTTTAGCTTAAACGGTGGATAAGTCAAAATCAAATAACACTCTTACAACTCTCTTGAATGAGTCAATGTGAATATTATGCACTGAATATGTAGTTTTAAACAGTATCTTTGTATTAAGGTAAAAAACATTTAGTTTGCCTGTTAAATAAAACCACAGACTTGCTTTCTGTTTTGAACTTATCCACCATTTAAGCTAAACGGGCTTATACAACCGGCCCCTGAGCATTTACTTGTGCCTTTTTCATTCAGAATTTCTTTGTTTTTCATCTTGTAATGAATCGCGGTTAACGCCGGTCCAATATGGGAAAGTTTCGGTCCAGTACGGGAAAGCAATGGACCACTGGAAATTCTTCTCAGCCAATCACTGAGTTATATTTTTCTGGAGGTGAAACTTGCCATATAATAGGACAGTTTATTTCCGAAATATGCTTTCTAGCGGTCAGCCTAAATTCTCACGTGTCACGTCGATCACTAGGAAACTTTCATGAAATGACCTGCACAGATATGATTCTGTTTTTATTTAGAAAAGAAGGTCAGTCTCCAGGCGGGGAGCTGCTGTTAGGCGGCAGTGATCCTGCACACTACAGCGGGGAGTTCACTTATGTTCCTGTTACCAAAAAGGGATATTGGCAGTTCAAGATGGATTCTTTAAATCTTGTTGGTGGTTCTGGTGGTGAATTCTGTAAGGGTGGCTGCCAGGCTATTGCTGATACAGGCACGTCCTTGATTGCTGGGCCATCCCAAGAAATAAAGGAATTGAACGCAAAAATTGGTGCCATTCCTGCACCAATTGGTGGAGCGGTATGGTTTATAAATTTTCATCTACAGGGTGTTTCGATAGACCCCAGTACTTCAGAGGAAAAATGAGCATGTTTATTCATAGTTCTGCCTGACGGATTTCTTTTTTATATAAAGATGCTCTATCTGAACATGTTGTATATATGATTCATATTTAGTATGGATGTATATTTTCTATTATAGTACATCATTGATTGTATTTTCTATTATAGTACATCATTGATTGTATTTTCTATTATAGTACATCATTGATTGTTCGAAAATCGACTCACTGCCAGACGTATCAATCAATCTTGGTGGTAAGAGTTTCAAGCTAACTGGATCACAGTACGTAATCAAGGTATGTATCAGTGTTTGCTGCATAGCGCGATTGGGTTGCTTCCCATTTTCAGTGCTTGGTCGCGCATGCACTATTATTTATTGGGGCTTCGTACAGACAGAAAATGGTCTCGTACAGACAAAAAATGCATAGATTAGGCAATCAAGGGCGTTTGGACTGGATGTTGCTTATTCTCGTCCGCGAGAGCAACTACTTAAATCATAGGCAGCCCGGTCAATGCAGTTACATCATACTCTTATGTATATAGATAATATGACGTAACCGCGTTGGCAAGGGTGCCTATGCTTACATATAGCTGCTGTTTGACTGCATGGGGAGGCTCACCGCCCAACAGTCGTTCTTTTCATAAAAGTGAAGATTGACCCCCAAATAAAATAACAATTTCAATCCGTTTTTAACGTATATATGTGTTTTGACTAATGGCAATTTTGCTTTTAGGAAACTATTCTTGGGCAAACTGAATGTCTCAGCGGATTCATGGGCCTTGATGTTCCACCACCTATGGGACCGATTTGGATCTTAGGGGATGTCTTTATTGGTCCCTATTATACCGAGTTTGACATGGAGGCGGACCGAGTCGGATTCGCTAAAGCTACTTAAACAGACACGTTGGGATGGGAAACGCTGGGAAACCTAATAATTTTTAGTCTAATTGAAGTATAATAGTTTCGTAATTTTGCACGGCAGATACCACTACATCAACCTGGGTTCACAGACCGAATGATATGTTTTGCAGTATATACCAACAAACGTATGTTGGTGCAATAATCATACAATTGTAAGTAATTGAAGCTTTGTAAGAAAATACAGGGTGTCTCAAAAAAAACGCAAAACTTAAATATGCAGAACATTAATACAGCTCTAAAGCGCAATAGAGACACACCTCTGGGAATTGAAAATGGCTCTTAATCCTTCATTTACAATGCTAAAAGTCATTTTAGCTGAACTATGGTGCAAACCCGAACAATATTAATATTTTTGCATATTTAAGTGGTTGCGTTTTTTTTGAGACACCCTGTATAGTGGTTGTATGTTGCTTTTGCCTTACAATGAATTCAATATTTCAGTGGATATAAAAATATTATAATTAGTATAAGATAAAATAGGGCGGTGATAAATCATTCTTAATAAAATCAACCGTTACTCCGCGTAAAAGAAAAAAAGTCTGGAACCATATTTGGAGGCAAGTAAACCATCTATATGCAACCAGCGGTTCATATCCAGTTATGCAGCGCAAAAAAAATTTGCCACTACACTCCGTGCAACTAACTTACTCCCTGATTAAAATGAGCGAGGGAGAGGGGCCTCAAATTCGAATTCTCACAATTGAAAAGAAAACCATGCGAAAAATTTCGTTCGATCGTAAAACTCAGCCTAGTCCAAAAACGATGTTGTATTCATTTCATTCCACCATGATCTTCATCGAACGATGGACAGTCTAAAAACTTGGACTAAACCTCAATGCAAATTTCAATAGTTATATTTAGATTCTCAAAGAGAATTGTCATCAGCGGGTAGGGCAAACCAATTCAGCACGAGCGGAACATCAACACGATTTACAACATTTACAATTGTTCAACATCCTGGCGTCAAGATTTATGTATTCAAGTAACCCTTGGTCCACGTAATTCTACACGATCTTTCATATCGAACAAGCATTCATATATTACACGAACGAAATACATTATTTAATTATTTACTGAAGTACACATGCTTTCTTTATTTCATTATCAATCTCATCCTCGTCATTTGAGCAATCTGGATTGCGGTCGTGAATGTCGGGTTGAAAGTTTTTATGGTCCATACCAACACGCTCGTAAAATAACAAATATGGCGATTCCTTTTCGACCCGATCTGGGCTGGTCTCCTGAAAAATATCCACACGAATTAGTCATTGGAACATAAGTACCGCAGATCAACAAGTTGTCAGGAACTGAATTATTGTTTTTATGCCATTCGCAATAAAACCAATCAAGTAGGTTTGCGGCCAAAATTTAACGCATTATTATTGGGTTTTGGCCCTAGTTGAAAGTTAAATTAACGCTGGTTTAGCAAAAATGATTTAACAGAACCGTTCACGTAAATGGTGACATAACAAAGTAGAAAAATAAAGGGACAAAATGAAACCTTTACTTCTTTAAAGATTTTGGTTTTCTACACTGATTTCCATTTGGATTACTAGAGAAACACACTATTATAGAGCACTATTATCATAACATAGCATGTATGCAAATACCCCATGGGAAAGAACAACATCCATGTATTCTATTAATTCAGTAAGGATACTACTCTTACAAACATATTCTATCGTCTCTATTAAAATCAACTGCTTATTAGGTGTACTAACCTTGCAACTGCTGTCATTAAAACAATACCACTTCGAGTTCGGATTTTTCGAAAAGAAACATAATGACCACCTCCCATCACGCCTGTGTGACTCTAAAAAGAATAGTTGGACATATTTTTAGGTAGAGAACTTGAATATTTTAGAGGCCACAGCTTTAGAAAAAAGTAAAGGAAATGTTTCAAACCCAAAATTTCAAATATTCCAAGAGGGAGATGAACTCGTCATTGAATTCAACAGAACAACGTTTGATTAAGGAGTGCAATTGGTGATGACCTTATATATTTGATAACGCTCCTATTTCAAACGAAAACAAGCATCTTTCACAACTTAGAATGAGATTTCAAAGACGTTACGTAAAGGGTATTCAATCAATTTCCAAATGTCTTGGGGTGTGTTCGGCAAAGGACTCCGTTTGATCATTTAATTCTCCCTCACCCCCTAACCAATCCTGCACATTGCATCAACAAAACTATAAAATATCACTTAAGTTTCTCTTTGTTAAAAAATACAGAAAAATCTGGAGGTTTTAGGGGTTGATGATCTTTTTGTTCAAGCCCCATGCATGCTCTTATTCGGAATATAAAGAAAGTTCATGTACTTACAGATATGGTATATAAATTGTACAACATTCGTGACGTATCGTTTTCATTATCGCCTTTCACGTTCTTTTCGGCAATACCAGAAGATTCCACGTCAAAAGTATCTACACTATTTATTGCGACACAGTTGACATCACTTGTCTTACTTGAGGATGAACAACTGGACGTGTCATCGAAATCAGTCTTTACAGGTGCCTGGTCATAATGATTATCTTTCTTACAGTCTTCACTCGAACCGTTCTTCCCTCTTGTTTCACTCGAAGTTTTATCAAGCGCGCGGACTTTGTCAGAGTTTCCATCAACGGAATGTTTTTCTGCACAGCAAGGATGTTTGCCCTCCTTTAAATGTCTTTCAGAGTATTTCTCCGTGGCTGATTGCGATGAGCAGTCAGAATCTTCATTGATATCAGGAATACCCCCGGTTACAACACACGACTCGTTACTGGAATAACCCGAAGAATTCGACGACAAGCCTGAATCACTGGATTCTTTGTGCTGCCGTTCTGAGATTAAATGATTCTAGAGAGAATACGCAGATAGGTATGGTTTAGAGTTCAGAGTTCTCAAAAGAACTTTTTAAACAAAACAGGACTCTCGTGAAATAGTTTGCATGCAGTAGTAAAAGTTCCTGCACGTGGGAAATTGAAAATAAATGATGAGACGAATTCGTACCTTGTCGCAATCTGTTTCAAGAACCACTGGACATCCAGATTCTTTACCATGCTCCAAGATTTCTTCGGCTGCTGTTTGAACGTTCACTGTTCTTACAAATGTACTATCCTCGCACACATTACTCGTCGTTGTCCGTTTTACGACGAATTCCGATGGATCAAATGTCTCCATTGGAAAATTTACGATTTTGTTCGACTTCACCCACCGTCCGTTCATAAATTGAAATCGTTTCAAGTGTATTATCTTGAAGTGGGAGAAATACAGAATAGTGTTAACAATGGTTTGAGATATTTTCACAAGGGCGATCCATAGCTTATTATATAAGCTTGAAGAATTACTCGACGCTCATTGGTTGAGAGGAGAACAGTTATTTCAAATAGTGGAAAGGTATTTGTGTCCAACTTAAAAAGTTTGGCAGGATAAGAAACAACCGTGTTTGCATTGAAAATTATGTCCAAAAGATCTCGATGAAGAGCTTCAAAATTTTTACTATATTATCAATGCTTATAATAAACAAATAATAATCATGCGATGATGCTTGTACATGGCTGGACTATTCAGCAGAAATAACACATCTTGGAGACACTTTGTCAAAATGAGGTAGGGCGAAGAAAGTCGTTACACCAAAACTAGTTAATTTTGAGAAGTTTATCTAACATCAGACTATAGACTCTGTTAGAATATTTCATACCAATATCGGAGGTAAGCTCCAGATATCCAACTTTTTACTTGCTAATTGATGTTTCTTACATTTGGAACAATACCTATAGGTATACAAGAGATAATGAATCATTTGTAGATATTAGGTAGATATTAGGTAGATATTAGGGGCCGGTTAGCACATGGCTAAAAACTCTGATCCTGCGGTTTAACAGCATGGAGCAATGTTGTGCTGACAATATTGCTTACAACATTAAACAATATTGTGGACAAAGTGAACAGGGTGTAGCAATATTGTTCAATGTCGATCACAACCTTGAAGAATGTGGGCAGCACAACATTGTTTCATCCCATTATTATCAATATTGCATCAACCTGATCGTTTTTTTCGACCAGTTAATTTTTAACTATAATGGCAGAATTGGCTTTGTATTTTCGAGATAACTACTCAAAACCTAGTTATAGTAGAAAGAAAAAATTATTTCCATGGCTGCTCGAAAAATATTTTCTCGCCAACTGAGATAAATCTATCCCCATATATGAAATGGTTCTATTCACAAGATCTTCAGTAGTTTTCCTTATGCATTACTACCTACCACAATTCATCTTCTCCTAATTCTTCCTCTTTTGTGAACGCTTTAAAACATTCATAAAGGTCGATGGGTTCCGTCTGAAGACGACGACTTTGCTCGACACTTGCGTGTTCCGTGAACACCTGAGAGAATTATAAATTCGAAATTGAATTCAAAATGAAACCTTTGAGTCGATTGGTGTCACAATCTGTGATATAAGTACCTATCATATACAAACTCATCAGACAGAAATACACAATTTAAAGCTGTTCAGCATATATGTTCAACTAATTTGAAGCCACCATTAGACTATGATATGACCAATGAAAGCATGGACCCAGGATCATTGTATGTTTCGGATAATTTCCTTCCAAGTTATATTTTTATATAAGATAGCTTAGTACATATCTTTTCTCTTGAAACTGAGATAAGGTGACATTTTATTTGTATTTTTTGCGTGTATTCTGTTATTTGCAAGAACGTGAACAACCCACACTCACTTCTCTTGAGATATTGCTTCTTTCTTGACAAATTTAAGTAAAACTTAAAAATGTCCTATAGCACAGAGCGTCAGCATTTAACATTAATTAAAAATTCTACTATTTCCCACTCAAAAATATCAGAAAATAGCCAAAAAAACATAAATTCAGTTTGGCCGCGCACGTAGGAAGTCTGGGGTGTCCTCCAATAGCTCCTTCAGTTTCCGCCATCTTTGGCTTCACTTGAACATTAGCCAAATGAGCGAAGTTACTACACCATACATATATAGAGCTCCCTGGTCGCTTCAAGGAAATCGATTCGGCATCAGAGGATTTAAATATAATTTGCTACAAACAGCGACTGTTTCAGAAATGCATTCAGCGTATTTACATTCTTACCTTTTCTTGCGATGACTGATATCTTAAATGTAACGTGGTGGGCTCCCACTCAATGGCAAGATATTGACAATTGCAGTTAAACTGTTCATCATTGCATTCTATAGTACAACCGCGACAGAACCTAAACATTTACACAAAGCATATATTACTGACGAAAACCAATTTCGGTGATTTACCCACACTGCAGCAGAGTTTCCACAACTTATTTGCATATGAATGTCCTCAAAGGGGGATAGAAATGACAAATGAGAGAGACTAAGAACTTTTGGAAAGAAATACATAATATATCCTATATTAATCCTTCGTTGAAATATACTTACTTAAACCAAGGGCACAAAGCGCACGAAAGACCACTTTCAGTGACGACCTTCAACTCGAAAGGATATCCATTCTGCCTACGAATACAATGATGTGTATGAAAAGATTCATAGAGAATACAAACAAATAAACAACGCATTATTATATAGAAGAAGGAGTAGAAACAGGTTTAAAAACGCGAGTAAAACTCGCGGTTAGGAGAAGGAGTAGAAACAGGTTTGAAAACACGAGTAAAACTCGCGGTAGGAGAAGGAGTAGAAACAGGTTTAAAAACACGAGTAAAACTCGCGGTTAGGAGAAGGAGTAGAAACAGGTTTAAAAACATGAGTAAAACTCGCGGTTAGGAGAAGGAAAAGAAAAAGGTTTAAAAACATGAGTAAAACTCGCGAGACCACCACTGTTTTCTCGTGGGACGTATAAACATACCTGTTAGACGATAGTTCATCTCCAGGCGATGGGACACTAACGAACCGTGATATTTGCTGCCAAACACTTAAATATAACTCGCTGTTCTTAGTGCCTGGAATACAAGGAATGATGAGGGGACAACCAAACAAACTTGGACGATTCTTTTGAGGTGCTATGAAATAAACATCCATCCTCATCTAAAAACAAACATGTGTATTTTTGAAATGGTTTCGTAAATACTTCCGAAATTCTTGGAAGTATAAACATGCGTTTTTTAGTGGGAGCCGAGGTTCATCACTTCATCAGCCCAGCGCGGGCTGGTGGCGTATGCATACAACGTGCGTTTTGCACCGCGATGACCAATCTAGTGGCTGTATAGCGGAAGCCGTAAACGTAAGCGTTGCCAAATGTAAAGCTGAACATCTGGTTTACTGACTCGTAGGATTAATGCAGTATACGCAAACAAAACTAGTATATATTGTTGTATTTACCAGTTTTCGATGAAGTCCTATCAAATATCCGCAAGTCTGGCCAGCCAAATGTATTCCAGTATGCACTGAATTTCCGGAATTCGCCGATGAAATGCTTGTATTTCGCGAGTGACCAGGAGTTGATTGAACACTGGCAGACGGTTGACCAGAGTAGGAAGACAACTCCACCGTCGTATTCCCGGCTTCTGTCGTATTCCAATGGTTCGCCGATTTCTTACCGGTGAGTTTCCGCATAAACCTGGGACTTAATTGTTTTAATAATCCTACGTTGTTTCTCTTAGACACTTCGGAACCGACTTCTATAGTGTCTTCATCGTCGTCCGAGGTTTGTCGACTAAGACAGGGTAGTTTTAGCGTCCCACTATAGCTTCTCTCGCTGCTACTCCGACTAGGACTTCGTACGAGTTCAGCGCGACGAGTATCACAAGGGTGACTTTCAGAGCGTTTCGTGTCAGAGGAGTTCGTGTCACATCCATCGTTGTCGTTATGGCCGGATATGCAACCCTCTGTACTTAAATTTTCGGAAGCTTCACCAGAGGATACAAGTGCTATGTTCGGAGGCGAATTCTCCACAACTACCGGTGGGGTAGGAATCTCGAATGCGTACAAGATCCCTGATAGGCTTGAACGAACTTTTTGACTATCCAAAGGTTGACCCTGCATGCAAAAGACACAGAAAATTTGTTAAAACAATCGTGTATTTACGACACGATTGAATAATTTATAAAATATTAGCGATCGCTACAAGTTCCGTGATCAATGACATATTTTTGCGGAAAATATTTTAGCGAAGAAAAGCAAAGTTTATGGTAAAATAAAACAATAATAGAGTGGTTTCGCTAAGGGGACACCTTGTGCTTCCTTTTTACCTTAATAGATGCACCAAGTAGCTCAGCCATTAAAAGTTGACTGGGAGTTAAAGAACAAAGTTTCGCCAGCTGTTTTTTTAACATCTTGTAGTTGTCGTCTGTGTTTAACAGTAAACCATATTTAATCGGAACAGAACCATCGAGAGTGACAACTATAAAAAAAGAAGACAATAATCTTATATTTGTTCTATTCGCATCGTTGTGTTCTAGACTGCCACACGAAACACACCAACAGAAGTAAATTGCTTCCAACAAAATTGGATCATGGGAACAGGCCGTTTACACTTGCGATTTTCTTCTTTTGATAGATGTGAACACGTAATAAGTTACAAATGCTCTGGTGTGTACGAGCTCCTATTTGAACATCAGTAACTAATTCACTCGTTCACATCTATCAAAAGAAGACGTTCGCACATAAAATCGCAGCAAAAATTTCAAGTGTGAACAGGCCTTATGTTTCAATATATTTCAACCACTCACCAATACATTCGACATAGATAGAGTTATCCATAGGAATCGGCAGGGACAAGAAGGTGTATGGATCAAAACGAACGCTGATGTGACTGCATTGTAAACATCGTACACAACTTTTTAACTACAAGAAAACCCAAGAAAAAATAAGTTAGAAAAGAGGGGCCGGTTGTATCAAGCCCGTTTAGCTTAAACGGTGGATAAGTCAAAATTAAATAACACTCCTACATCTCTCTTGAATGAGTCAACTTGAATATTATGCACTGAATATGTAGTTGTAAACAATATCTTTGTATTAAGGTTTAAAAACATTTAGTTCGTTTGTTGAATAAAACGGCAGACTTGCTTTCTATTTTGAACTTATCCACCGTATAAGCTAAACGGGCTTGATTCAACCGGCCCCCAGCTAAAGCAGCTTCCTAGCGTTAAATTGCAAACTTTTATGGAATTACGTTGCCTGTAACACGCAGTCTCAATCTAAATAGGTCCGTTCACACTTGCAATTTTTGCTGCGATTTTTTCCTGTGTATAATTGTGAATCAGTAAATTATTTATGGATTTTAAATACGAGCTCTTTTACAATCAGAGCGTTCGTAACTAATTAGTCGTTCACGTCTATCAAAGAAGAAAGTCACAGATTGCAAGTGTAAACGCACATCTTGTGATGTAGGAATTGTATTGCCAGTTGGAAAAAGTACCTGGCCTTGGAATAAATCCACGACGATCGATTTATTTCTTTTAAGGTGATTATCCCACGCCTGAATGTAAAATGAGATAAAATATGGTAAATGTGCATTGCAGGCCACAGAATCATGCTCCTTGATGGATCTCCCTTCATCTGCATTAGTTATTTAGGTTATATTCAGGCTTAGTAACTGTCGAATAGACGTTTCTTATAATGACGTCAAACGCGAAAAGTGTGATGTTACACGAAATTTGATTGGCTCCACAAAACTATCGAGCCAATCAAACTTCGTGTAACATTATACTTTCCGCGTTTGACGTCATGAAATTCGACGTAATAACACATGATGGGGGTAATAATACACGGAGGTATACCATATTAAGTCTATTATAGACTAAAAAAAGGCCTCTAAATATTTTTAGCTTTTCTCTTGTGGTATAAGCATACGATTTTTACTCAGTTGCTCCATTTAAAAATTGCCGACTGTCTCGCCTCAGTTGCGCGCGGGTTGCCACGCGTGGGAACACGAACAGTAATACAACACTGTAGCAATTACTATG